TGACTTATGATTGTTTTATCCCATTTTCTCACCACAGCCGTTAAGTGACTCACCGAAGTTGTTAAGTGAATAGCATGGTTGTTAAGTGAATCTGGCCTCCTCGTTGATTTTGCTTGTCAGAAGGTCTCACAAGGGGATCACATGACCCCGGAACATTGCAACCGTCATAAACACGAGCCAGTTGCCAAGCATCTGAATTCTGATCACGTGGCCATGGGGATGCTGCAATGAGCATGAAAGTGTGAAAAACAATCATAAGTCACTTTTTTCAGTGCTGTTGTAACTTCGAATAGTTACTAAATGTTGTTAGTCGAGGGCTAACTGTATAGTACAAATTTGTATAAGGTCCAAAGGTAAATTGTATTTGAACTTCTTAAATGGATACTTGGCATCACAATTGATGCTAGCTGGACTTCTTTGGTAGATGGTAAAAATATGAATGGTTAAACATAAATCAAGGGTTAATACCAGTGGTGGGTTCTGGATCCCGTTGCAACTGGTACGCTGCACATGAGGCCGTGCGTCCTAGTGAAGCATGTGCGCTGTGCACACATGCGCATGCCACTGTCCTGCAACACCCACCTGCTCAGCAGAGATCACGCAGGTACCTCACGCTGTGCGCGTGTGCGCAATTGGCCCGGTTGCTTCAAAAACAGATAAGGAACATAGGCGGGCGGGTGGACCAAATGAGCCACCGTACTGGTACGGTGCTCCCTGCTACCACCAGTATTGTCATATTGGGCCGTACTGTCCAGAACCCACCACTGGTTAATACACATTAGGAAAATGGTTCGCACTGAATATCAGTTAAGAGTGCAGATATATAACACAAGGTTTAACTGTTATTGGATTTATTCCAACTTTTGCAAATTCTTACCATGTGAGATATTAAAGAAACATCATTATATCATTCAGTAGAGATGATATTTATTATGAAAGATACATCATTCTTCTTCCACTGGCATGGAACACCATTTCCCATCTTTTTCGAATATTTCTGACTTTTAAATCCAGTTTTGTTTTTAAATTTCTGTAGGTATGTTTCAGTTTGCGATTGGGGCTGATGACAATGCCGAGTTTTGGCTGAGCCAAGGAAAAAACATCTCAGAGCTTCAACTGATGGCCAGCGTAGGCAAGGTGATCAGCCATGTTCTTTCAATTATCTATTTCATGTACAACATACACTTGGTGGCGCAGTGGTTAGAGTGCAGTACTGCAGGCTACTTCTGCTGACTGCCGGCTGCCAACAGTTTGGCAGTTCAATTTTCACCAGCTCAAGGTTGACTCAGCCTCCCATCCTTCCGAGGTGGGTAAAATGAGGACCCGGATTGTTGGGGGGAAGAGGCTGACTCTGTAAACCGCTTAGAGAGGGCTGTAAAGCACTGTGATAAAGCGGTATATAAGTCTAAAGTGCTATTGCTATTACTACACTTCA